GGCCCATGGCCCGCGTGGCGAAGATGGACCCGGGCAGCGCCGCGAGGGGAGCGGGAGCTGCCCCCGCGCCCCTGGGCGCCTGCAGACCCTTCCCCTCCTCCTGCGGCTGCTGCTTCTCCTCGCTCCTGGATGTGAACGGCTGGCTGCTCTGGCTGGCTGCTCTTCTACGGCTTCTTGTACCTGGCCCTCTATGCCCAGGTGTCCCAGTCCAAGTCCTGCGACAAAATCTCCTGCTTCGCGGGTCATTGTGTCAACTCCACCTGTGTCTGCGACCAGGGCTGGGTGGGAGACCAGTGCCAACATTGCCAGGGCAGGTTCAAGTAAGTCTCTGCTTATTACGATTCCCTTTTTTTCGTCACTGCACCCTTTCCCTGTCGTTTTCACTTGGCTCTGTTTTGTGGTTTTTGTAGTGTGGGGTTTTTTTTTTTTTTTCCTTGTGTCTGCTATGATGTTGTTCATGTGGGGGGGAAATATGTGACAGAAGTTAAGGATGAAATAGGCTCCTCCACCTCATGGTCCCTCCCTCTAAGAACACAGGACGCAGTCCTCCGATGGAAAATTGTACCTGCTGACTTACCACTGAAAATAGGCTGCTGCACTTGATGGGAACTGAGAGACAAGGAAAAATGGACCTAAAGCTGTGTTGCTGCTGTCCCTTCTGGAAGTGTCATGGAAATGACATGTGCACTTCGTGGGGCTGCCCAGGGAGCAAAATTTACTAGTGGATTTGAATGACTTTTTCCTTCTGGAGAGTGAAAGTGTTTTGTTTATTTCGGTCTTCCTCCCTTTCTTTCAAGTGTTTTAGCTAAGTGGGCATTAGCCAGGCACATTTGAGATAACATTAAGTGTAACTTAGTGAAACATTCATCACTCATGACAAGGTTTGCAGGAGAGGAGGCAGTGGTAAATGTAAAACAATAACGTATTTTTGCAAAGGAGAAAGTGGTCAGTGAAGGTAGAACTACCTTCTCTTTCTTAAAAATGGATGTGATACGGAGTCATAGATCAGTGGGAAGGAAACGTACCCTGACACTCCATATGTAGTGGAAAAGAAGACTTAATTTATAGGGCTGTCACTTTACCCCCAACCCCTTTGGTATCAGTATAAAGACTGGCGGTGAAGAATACTGTTTGTTATTTCGCTATATAACCTTGGACAGGATGTCTCATTTCATTCCTTTGTAAAACACCCCTTAAAAGCAGGAACTCTATTAAGTGTATTGACATATATATGGCTGGAAAGTGTTCTAATATCTCACTAATAAGAGCCTGGTGAGGCTATGTCTTAGAGAACTCAAATTCTGTCTTTGGAAAGGTACTTTTAATAGGTTGAAAGTATCAAAAATTGTCTATTTTAAATTGTGTTTAAATTCGGTTTTCTCTTTGGAGTACTAAAATTTAGCTATGTAATTTACAACTCTTTTAAACATTTAATCCAAGGTCACTCATTCCTAAGTAACAAAAAGTAAATCCAGTAACTTCTTAGCTTGAAAAGTTAAGGAATAGCTGGAGTCAGACATGTTGGCTGAAGTAATGTACATGCTGCAGAGAAAGAATTCACTGATAATATTTGGTGGATTATTCAATCTGCATGATTATAACTGAGTTATAGAGGTAATATAAGGCAAATATAATACATCTTTTCTGCATATGATCTTGGTAATAAGATTTTGAAGTTGGTTATTTGTTCCCTGTGTGTATTGAGGATTTGGGGTTTGTCCTGCTCTGTGTTGTGGAACAATGGCCTAATTGCGTAGGGATTGAGAGTGAGGAGAGGAGGCCCAGGTGAATCTTCTTTGTGTGTGAAGATCTGCAGGAGACAGGCTTGCAGGGCTATTATTTCCTTGCTTTAAAGAGGTTACTTGTATTCTTTGTCTTCATGCTGCGCACAACATACCTTAACAGTGCAAGGGCTGAAGCAAATTTTCATTTCTTAAATTTCAAAGCTTGTTGTGAATTAGTATATTCACAACAATGAATGGTTACTGGAGCCTTTATCCAGTCCTTACAGGTATTTCCTTGATTATCAGTTAAAACATTTATGTTTCTTTACACTGGTTGTATTTGTCGAGTGAGGAGGTGCAGCAGTTACGTTTTCACTTCTGGTAAAAAGTTAATAATCCATCCCCACCTAGAGGAAGTTCTGCCCGAGTGTTGAAAGAGCATCTCTTCTGAGCTAAGCTAAGCTAACACAGTGGTTCATTGATGTGCCATTAAGAGTTTTGGTGAAATTGGAATAGATTTCTCATTAACTTCTCTATATTTTATGCTTAGCTTTAAAAATGACAGTGATAATTGCATTACAATTTTTGTCATGGAAGTAAGCTACTTCTGTTATGTCGGAGACCTATTTTTTACTGAGGACACATTCATAGTGGTATCTTTGATAGCTCATCTTTAATCTTTATTCTTAGAAGCAAAGTATACTCTGCAATGAAAATAAGCATTTTAAGATTAAAAGCTTTTCAAGCCCTGTGAGTTGGAGATGACATGAAATATGTTAACATCTCTTGCAACGCAAGCAGCGACTCGGAGTGGTTGTATTTTGAATCCTGGCAATTCAGATGAGTGTTGAATGGGTGATAAGTCTATGTATTTCCAGCTGAAGAATTGTAAAAAGAGTGTCTGCCTCATGGCCAGGTGATTGAAGACCTTTCTGAGCTCCGTGACAATCGATAGTTTGACTTACTGGGGAACATTTGCATATTGTTTCCATTTGTCTGTGAAGGGTGGGTATATGCTTTGTACACAAGTAGCCATGGCTGGATTTCTGCAGCAGTGGTACTTGCATTTGACAAGTTATGTTGGATGCGTATCACTTTTGCAGCAGTTGCTTCTGTCAGTAAGAATTATTATGAAGAATGTTTCAGAATTACATAAAGATTGAAAAGTGTGTTTGGCTGTTACCACTGCATTAACAACTAATGTTTGGGTTGTAGATATGTTCCGTACAAATGTTTATAAAACCTTGTGTATTATTCTAAGCACTTAGGTTGTTTCAAAGTTTCAGCAGTTTGAAGTGCCTGGATGCGCCTCTGTTACGCAGGATTAAAACGGAACTTTTAATGACCTGAATTGGACATGTGTAAAACTTGTTTTCTGTCACTAGATTATTTGAGGAAACAGATTTTTAAGGGTAGGCTTAAAACTCTCGAAAATAAAAGTGTCTTTTTTTCTTCATGTAAGTGAAGTCTGGTTATTTTTGCTCTTTTGGGAATGAGTGACTTGCATTAGCAAGCATCAGAAACATTATCGTAAGAGAAATACTCTACCTAGGGTAACTTGGGACCATTAGTTCTTTGAGAGACTTGTAGTATTTTTGGCTTTGTTTTATTTCTTCTCTAGACTGAGAAATAACAACGTAGCAGAGAAACATCAAAAATAATTGATCAATCTTAGTAAGCAGGTGTCAAAATTAATTGGCAATACTATGGTAACCTTGCCTTTTCCCTGTAGCAGAACTACCGAGTAAGTGGACTGCTTTGCAGATGTTGCTCTGGACAGGATGAAAGAATGGTGGATGGGGGGAAGAAGTGGGCAAAAAGATGCTCTAGCACTATTTTATTACTCTTATTTAGCAACTTTCATATTTATTCCTTGTTTTGTGAAGCATGTGGTAACTTGTTATATAAATGGAAGTGGTGTTGTTCTTACTGCCTTGCATTCAGATCCATGTCAGTCACTTTTCAGAATGATCTAGGCCTCATATCTGCCTGGCAGTAAATTATTTTGCTCTCTGTTCAGGATGGATATCTTAATGCAGTTTTGACTTACTTCCTTCTTTCTTAAACATTCCACACACCACCACCCCACTTCCCTTCTGCCTTGACAGAATGAAAAAACTTTTTTTTGCTACCAAAATATAAAAGGGAAATTTAGTTATAAAGAGAGGGGAAAGGAATTCTGTCTGCCTGCCTACAGGAGGCAGGTGAAAGATAAGAAAGCCAAAGGGTGAGCAGGTTCTGTTTTTATAGCAGGGAGCTTCAAACAGCACAGTTCCCAAGATGCAAACAAAAATACAAGCATAAAAACACAGTGTCCAGTTTTATTCTGATAGATTAATTTATTAAGGAAATGAAGCTTTTAATGCTCCATCTGCCTGCCTTTCTTCCCGTACCCTATACCTTTGAATTTGTTGGTTAGTTACAGTTTTCATGATGATATGAGTTTGGGCAGAAGGGAGAGGGAAGGGCTGCCCAAATCGTTGTATCATGAGACTCCAGGGAATTCAGGGAGACAACCATTATGAATGGTCCAACTGCAAGAAAAGCTGCAGTACAGCTTCTACGTATTTAGATGTCAAAGTCAATCAATCTTGAGAGGCAGCACTACAAGAAAACAAGTTTCATTAGTTTTGCTACTCACAGAATGACTTCTTAGGAGGAAAAAAAAAAGTTTTCTTCAGGTTGGAGAAAAAAGTTACCCCTTTCTCTAGCTTTAGTTTATAACCTGATATGTGGAAGAGCACTAAGAAAAAAAATCATGCATGAAACTGCTCTTTCTCTAAAATTTTTGAGTACCTGAATGACTGGAAATATCCAGTCTTCTAAAATGCTGTCTTTAAAAAAGTAGATTGTGTCTTCTACTGGTTATTGTTGTCTACTTGATAACTTGTAAATCCCAATTGGCATATGTAATGAAGCAGACTGTACAGGATAGGTGAGCACCTTTGAGTAGCTATGCTTCAGTTAATTTGTTTTGCCTAGTCCTAGTACCTAGTTGTTATGGAGAGAGTAAGAGCAAATTGTTTTGTTTGATTATTAAACCTTGCGTACGGATGTTCTTACTGTGCTTCTAAATTACCTCCTGCATGTTTTCCTTAATTATTAGAGCTCCTATAAAAGATTCTGTATTCTTCAAGGACAAAAAAATTTCCAAGTACTAGAACCTACATAACTGAAATGTTAAAAAGGTATCAAACTTTATTATTCCTGGAAAAATCCTTATTTCTACCTAAAACTCTGAAATCTGCGGTTTGCAGCATGACTTAAACAAGGAAAGTGTCCTTAAATTGCAGATGTTAAATGAACAATGATGTTGTATGAGAAATGATCTTTAGTAAAAAGTTTTAGCTGCAGCCAGTTGAAATTCATGCTGCTGTGAAAAGGGGTGACTTTATCCTTCACACTTCACTTTGATTACCTCTTTCTTCTTCTTAGGTAAGCATTAACATTTCTGCTGAGAGTTTAAAAGTATCAACAGGAACATATCTCCCCACCTCCCAGCCAACTTTTTTTAAAGCTCGCTCAGTTTCCTCACATTACTTCACTTGCATAAGTCTCT